GGGAAGCTGAAGGAGGAGGATCACTATGAGTCTGAGCTGTGTGGTGAGACTGTGTACCAAATACATTTTTTTAAAAAAAGAATTGATACCTAGAGACATACATAGGTAGGTAATTTTATAACAAAGGTGTCTCTTCTAGGCCTATTATTGTAAAAACAACCATATTTAATTCCTTTGACAGAAAATAATGAAACTAATATAAAGTAATATAAAATTGTTGAACTTCAAATAGCTGCACCTTCACTGCCATAAATTCACTTTTCAGATGTCTCTGTAAAAAGTGATTGTTAACTGGGGGAGTTTTTGCCCCCTAGGGGACATCTGGCAGTGTCTAGAGATACTCTGGGCTGTCACATCCAGGGGCTGGAGCATTCTGGGGTCTAGTGGGAGGAGGCTGGGGTGCTGCTGCACCCTGGATAAGGCCAGCACAGCCCCTCACAGTAAGCAGAACTGTAGCCCAAAATGCCAGGCGGGGCCGAGACTGAGAAACTGCTGAGGGTCAGAATAGAGATTGGTGGCACCCCCGTCAGCCTGGCACTCAGGAGGCTGAGGAAGGAGGGTTGCTGCAAGTTCAGGGCCTGTCTGAACTCCATAGTGAAACCCTATCTCAAAAAGATTTAAAAAAAAAAAAGTGTGAGAGAGAGATTGATTAAAAGGTGAAATTGTTGTGGTAGCTCAGTTACAGCTTTATTTTGATTGGGCTTCTGCAGTGATAGCTGGAATGATCAGTGTCATCCGATCATCCTTCCTCCCCTGACAACAAAGTGAAGAGGCAGCACGTGTTACTTTTGCCTTGTCAGGGTTCTTAACGTTCTGTTGTGCACTTGTAATCTGAAGTGTTTGGTCTTGGTATTCTGTCAGACAGGTCAGAGCCAAATGCCCTGTCTCTAAAGGGAGAAGGCCTTCCCTTTCCTGGGTCACCCCTCAGTAGAGCGCAGGTGGATGCAGACGTTCGGGGTGCGAGGGAAGGGAGGTGTCAGGCTGAGCTCTGAGTTGCCTTGGTCAGAGTGGCCCCCGCAGATTCGAGTTTGTGTCTGAGTGCCGCACTCGAGAGTGGGCAGACCTGCTGCCAGGCGGTTTCGAGCGTGCTGTGGGGTGGGCAGCAGGGTCTTCTGGAGAAGCGGGGTTGGATTTGGCACTGGATGAGACTTTGGTGTGGAAGGCAGATTATCAGCGGGCTCCCAGATGGCAGAACAATAGCTGCGTGGACATCAAGGACAGGCTGACTGACAGGGCTGGCCCGGCAGAGTGATGAGTTCCTTCCTGCCTCAAGTGTGCTGGGGAACTCCCCGATGCGGTGCTCTCTGTAGACACTGGGGCTAAACCATCAGCCAAGCAGCCATATTTAGGTCGCTTGGCTGCCCTGGAGTTCTGATAATCTGGTAACGCTTCCTGAGAGCCACCTGTCCTGAGGTGGTGGCCAGTCCTTCCAGGTATTTCCTCCCTGCTGTGGGACTTCCAGGGCAGCTCACATGAACACATGGGTCAGGACAGAGCCTTGGAGGTTCTGTACATGTTAAATTTGGAGCCACTATCTGCAGCTTAAAAGCATATGTGCTAGATTTGCCAGCTAATTCCTGTCAGCATCTATAGTATTCGCAAGATGATAGGGCGTGAGCTCACTCCAAATCCGTTTCTGAACCAACACATGTATGTAGGGTCTGGGAGGCGTATCAGAGACACGGCAAAGGAAGATACCCTCCATGGAGTGTTTCCTGAATATAATTAGAACTGGGTTTTTGTTCATGTCAAAATCAGATGCCGGTTGCAGCGTGACTTACCGATGCCTTTGTTTTGTTACAGGGGAGCTACCCAGTCTGGGAAGATTTTATAAACAAAGCAGGAAAGCTGCAGTCCCAGCTGCGGTAAGTAGAAGCCTGTGTTCCACAGGTCCAGGGCAGCATGCTTGGAAAAGAGCGGGGTGGGATGGACCAGCATGCACTTGGGAATTAATTTGGGCAGCATTACAGAGAAGCACATAGATTCTGACTGAAGCATGACCGCTTGGTAAGCCATATGTCCTTGCCCCGAGTCTAGTGTCCGCAGGAATTTCTGTAGCTCTCACTGTGTGGTCTAAGTTAACTTTTTCCTGCTCTTACAACTTGTGGTATGATTTCAGTCACCAGTCCTGTTTTAGGGACAAGGAGACTGAGGCACAGATGAGCCAGCTGGCTTACCTACTATCACGCCCTACTAAATGACAGAGCCACAATTTGAACTTGGGCAATCTGGCCCTAGAGTCTAAATTCTTATCTGCATTGCCTTTCAACATAAGGGGTTCAAAAGCTACTGTTGACTGGGGTATAATCTCATTTATATGAACTGTCCAGGAGAAGCACACCTGTGGACACAGGCATACATTAGTGGTGGCCCAGGTCTGTGGTGACAAGAGAGAGTGCCTAAATGTGGGTGAGGGATCTCTCTGAGGCAGTGGAAGTACTCTAAAACTGGGTTGTAGTGAAGGTTGTACAGCTCTTAAAATTACTGAAAAAATCATTGAATAGTAGCTTAAAAGAGGTGCTTAATTCTTTTTCCCTTTTTTTTTGTATTTTAGGGAAGACCTACAGGGTGTTTAAGGTCTCACTACTAGATCGGACTCTTAGTGATCCGCCCGTTTACAGCCTCCCAAGAGCTGGGATTACAGGCAGGTGCCACCATGCCCAGGCTCTATTGCTGTCTCAGTGAGCCCCAGGGGTGCAGCTGGCATGGCAGGCCCCAGGATTGAGTCCCCGGCCCCTGCGCCTGCTTGTAGGCGCTTTAATCCACTGAGCTATTTGGCCGGCCCTGTTCAATCAATTTTGAATGCCTATATCTGGTAATCTGAGCAGGTACTTTGAAGATTACAGTATACAATATAACAACAATTGTTAATTTCCTATCTTGTTTTAAAACTCTGTATCATTTTAATTTTTAAAAATTTTTTATTCTCTTTAAAAAATAAAGGTGATTTTTTTTGGGGGTGTGTGTGTGTGTGTGCAAAGTATGCCTTCCTTAGTAAAGATGCTTAAGAAACCTAGCAAGACCTGCTGCTGATCTGCACGGAGGAATGCATCAGTGCTTTTTGTGTTGAAGTTCTACCCTTTTAAATCAGTCTGGGGAGGGAAACTGTCGTGCTTAGTGGGTGCTCTGAGAAGGTTAGAAGAAGCAATTATTTTGATGATTCCATTCATGAAATTTGGATAATGACAGTAGTAGTTTTTGAATGGATGAGGAAGGTTCAGCCGTGCACATAGACAAAGGACAGGGCCCCTGTGGCCTCCCCAGCTCAGCCTCGGGCACATCACAGGCACTGCTTGGAGCTTACGCCATAGGACTGACTGTAGGTTCCGTGTCACCCCTCTAAAAGAGCAGAGAAGAACCCAGCATTTTTCCTGTGATCCCTTCAGCTTCTGGGGGTCCTGCATTTATAGAGCCTTGCGTGGGCCTACAGGTGCACTGCGGACTCCGGAGTGTGGTGCCCTCTCTGGTTGCCCTGGCCTTTACCATTGCTCTGCTCCAGAACTTGTAACTGGAGTCTTAGCACGGAGTTCATGTATCCCTACAGCTTCACCTTCATCTATAGCTTTTCTGCTTCCTAATTAATCACTATTTCATTCTTTCATTGATACTGGGAGCACACCCAGAACCTTTACACTGATCTATATCCTTGGCCCTTTTTTATTTTGAGTCATAGTCCTGCCAAGTTGCTGGGCTCAAACTTACCATCCTCCTGCCCTCCTTTCAGGTGCTGGGATTGCAGGTGTGTGCCACCGTACCAGCTTACTGTTTACTTTAGACAGGTTAGTCTGCATCCTGTAGGAGGTCTTATCCTGCAGTGAAACATTTAGACACCTGTCCCTCATGCATACACACTGTTCAGCTTTCTTTAGTTGTCTGAAAGGCTTTCAGGGTTCACCAGGAAAAGTTTTCTTTCTGTTTTGCTAGTGAGGGTGCTACAGCTTAATACACTGAGGAGCTATTTGGACTATCCCCTGGCCAACCAATGAGCCATTTGCCCTCTTTGAAAAAAAAATCTGTTTTTGGAAAAAATTTTTAATAAGTATATTAGAAGGAAGTTTTGGGCCAGCCAGATAGCTCAGTAGACTAAAGCACCTGCTTAGGCAGAGTGCAGCGGCCAGGCTCCAATCCCTGGCCTGCCGTGCCAGCTCCGCCCCTGGGGTGTGCTGAGACAGATAATGAGAGTGGGCGTGGGCGTGGGCGCACACATCTGTAATTCCAGTGCTTGAGAGGCTGAAAACAGGAGAATCACTGTGAGTCTGGTCTGTGTAGTGAGACCCTGTAGACTCTACCAAATACCTAAAAAAGGAAGTTTTGTTGCTCATATATATTAACTGTGATAATATATTACATGCAGCCTAAGTGCGCGCAGCTGAGGTAAGCCAAAGGCTGGAAAGCACTTACTAAAACTGAAAGTAATCTTAGCCCTGCTGTTAGAGAGTGCAGCCTATTCTTTCTTTTTTTTTTTT